TACATTATCATATTAATTAACCATACTTGTTACATATTAATATTAATCATATAAAAGTTGTTAGCTTAAAATATTAAAGTAGTTGCATTTTAGTTAATTTTACTATACTTGTTAGATTAAACTATTAAAGTAGTTGGATTTTATTTGTACTCACAATTCAATACTTTATAGACTATCTGTCAAAAAAAAAACTTTATAGACTTGTAAACTAGTCACATTTTAATATAAAAGTCACATTTTCTTACATAAAGTGATATTTTAGTTACACTTTTATATTAGTTGCATTGTATTTGTACTCACATTAACATATTTGCTAGAATTTAATATTTGTTACACTTTTAAGATGAAACGATGTAGACATTCTGTAGATATTTATAACCTCCAACACAACTGAAAAAAGAAGATTGCGAATAACCGTTCTAATTCGCGAGGCAAAGGTAAAAGATATGTTGGGTCTTCTTTTCAAAGCCGAGATTATTTTGAAATGAATTACGACCGGAGAAATGCGATGTCCGACGCACAACTACATCAACTATTGGCCCAACAGGGTGGACGGTTTTACCAACAACAAGACATGCCCAAGATTGATGAAGAGCTCGAGGATGACGATGCTGAAGAGGAGGAATCGGCGACAACCGAAGAGGAACAAGGCGACGAGGAAACCTCCGACGAGGAAACACCTGACGATGACGAGCCTTGTTCATCCTAACCCGGTAAGAAAGGTGAATCTCTCCTTATGAAAAATAATTACACAAAATGGAAGGAAACAGAAAGCGAGGAGTGGTATTGTGGTAGGCAACTTGCGACCATTGTAACAAAAATATAAGCTTGGGTATTTCGCAAGGATACGGCGGCACTCATAGACATTTGAAGGCAAAATACCTTGTGAAGTATGCAAAATTAAAAGGCAAGAGGATGCAAACACAAATATCGAGATTTGCAAATGGCTAACCCTTTGGTAATTTCTCTTATAACGATTCCAAACATTTAACTACTATGTCTGAATTAATTGTTGAAGAAAATTTGCTTTAAAAGTTTATGCTCAAAGTTCTTTAAACCCTTAATTTTGAAACTATAGTCCCAAAACCATTTAAAAAGAAGTTATAAGGCAATGTGTTTTGAAAAAGGATATATTAAAAACGTTTTTCGCAAACTTTGATGGACATGTTAGTATTTGTAGTGACATATGGAAGGATACTTATCATCATTTGTATTATTTGGGTTTGACTGTACATTATATTGATGCTAATTGGGATATGCATAAACGTGTTATCGTTTTTCGAGAATTTAATGACTGACACACCGGTGATAATATTTATATTCTCATTGAGCGTATTTTAACTAAATACAATTTGATTGATAAAGTTTTTGCTATTGGTTTTGATAATGCTAGTAATAATACTGTTGTTATACCTAGATTGCGTGAATTGTGTGGTCCATCTACTTTGATAGGTAAGTTTTTTATCAGTGTTGCGCATGTCATATTCTCAATTTATGTGTAAAAGACGGTTTAACCGCACTAGGTAAAGTTATGGAGAACGTGAAGGGGAGCATTATACTGATTTGGAGTAATAATCAATTGAAACAACAATGGCGTCAATATTTGAGGGTTAGATGTGTGAACTATTGTGCTTTTCCAAAAAATTTGTCTATTCGCTAGAATAATACTTATAACTTAATTGTTCTACTTTTTAGATATAAAGTCCATTTTCTCTCCTTTTTAAAAGAAGCTGCTAACTACTTCATCCGTTCTTTTTTTAATTGCAACAGTCCACTTTTCATGTTTGTCAACGCACAAGTTTGACCACTAATATCTTTCATTCCTCATTACTAAAAAAATTAAGAAAATCAGATTTTGAAAATTTAAAATGAGAGGAGTTTTAAAATATTTTTTATAAATTTAATTTATGATATGATAATAAATAAAGTATAGTCAAAGTAGAATATCTAAATAGTGCAAAAAGTCCAACGTTGTAATTAAAAGAGAACGGAGGTAGTATATTATAAATCCGGCTGAGATGGACAGTATGGGAAAAAATTGCAAAATTTTGTTTTTTTTTTCAATAAATATACCTTGAATTTTATTTGTAACACTTGTGAATTAATTAACAAAAAATTAAAATTATCCCGGCTTGACCCGGGCCCAACCCGAAGCCCGACCAGGTAGCCCAATCCGACCCGGTACCGGTACCTTCCCGAGCCGGTACCAGGACTGATTTTACCAGACCCGGAGCCTGCTCAGTCGCGCCCTGGACCCGGCCCAGTCCACCACTAGTTGCTCCTATAGAGAACAATCGATATATCATAAATGCATGTGGGGGTGGACCCGGTCCTAATCCTAAATCGGCCGGCCCCGAATCGGTCAGTCCCGAATCGACTGGTCCCGATCATTGGTAGGAGAAGCTGTGCTTGACCCAGTTAAATCTTGGTCTGGTCCGGTTTTGGGTACCCAAGCGATTTGGTCTCGGTCCCCTTTTTTTTCACTTTCTCCCACATTCAAGTCAAAAAACAATTTAGCGGGTCCGTGACTGAAACCGAGACCGATATGGTTCCTAAAGGGGTCAACCGTGACTGGGTAACATGCTTTAGCGAACTAGGCGAGTGGGCGGTCCCCGACCCAAATCGAATTTACCGAACCCGATCCGATCCCAAACACTACTAGACTCGATTCTGGGCCGGGCCGGCCTAGCCGCTAGACCAGATCCATTCCTAAATGCATGATACACATGAAAAATCAAACTTGTCTATTTATTTGATAGGGGAAGATAGAGAAAACTTGTTATTAAAAGCGAGGAAATGAAAAATGAAAGTGGTCGAAGTATATCACATTCCACAATGAAGATCTTTTCTACACATGGATAATGTCTTAGTTAAGGTTATTAAATAGATGAATATGACAAATTGACGATAGGAATTTTAGCGATCCAGGATCTGAAAGATAGATAAATTATCGATGCGGGATCTGAAAGATGAATTGTATCGATATATAAGACCGGACTGACAGAAAACTATCTGATGGATAGTGTACCCGGGGGGTAGCTTATCTGGGGGGTTATTGTGGGGAATAACAAGAGAGAAGTCGGAGCCAGTAAGTATAGAGAGAGAAAATGTATTTAGAAAGTATGCAGTGTTTATGACTTGTGACTTGGTTACAAACGGGGAAATGGGGTGCTATTTATAGTAGCAATAAATGCCGGACAGGGACACGTGTCAAACGTCCATTGGCCGAGAGGTCACCTCAACTGGTTGGCGCTGGCAGCCGCATGTGGCCGCATTTAATGCGGCTGTTGGATGAGACGTTGTACAGGGTACGGTGATCTGTACGCATGTGGCGCGGATATCATGTCGGGTAGGGTGCCCTCGGCTGTAGAGGACTAGCCGAGGGCCCCGAGTACTGGGGACCCCCTTGGTGCCGAGGGCTCCAGGTGCCGAGGGCTACTGATTTTTGCCGTTTTTCCCAGTAACTTCGTTTTGCTGTCCTGGCCCTCCTGTGAGAGTTAGAGCCTTCGGCCAGGGGGCCGAAGGCACCCCTGGTGCGCATCGTGGGTTGCTTGGTACTCTGGGTGCTGTGATTTGGGCCTGTTGGGCCTTCTGGGCCTGTTGGGCCTTTACTGGAGTAGTAGGAGTCTGTGGGCCGGGGGTTCCCGGGCCATATACTCCATCACTATCAATTTAGGACCCGAATGATTGAAAACGATCAATTTAGGACCTAAGTTGTCATGAATTTTATTTTGTTTTTGATTTTAAATTTTTTTAAATATTACAAGTATTTATTTTTAATAAACTAATAAACTTTTGTGAAGAAAAGTTTATAAAAAATTAGCAATGGAATTAATAAAAAAATTAAATAAATCAAAACCTATGAAATGTCAGGTCATAGATTGATACTTTTCCATCATTCGGGTCCTATATCGACATATTTCATCTTTCGAGTCTCAGATTGATGAAATTCGTCTATATCTTGAATTGATTAAATTCCATTGACGGACAATATGTGAGGTTAATCTCCCAAAAGCCGAGATCTCATTAGATGTTATCAAATAATTATAATAATAATATAGAGTAATACTCCCTCCGGTCCCAAATGAAATTCACACTTTTCTTTTTGGGTAAGTTCAAAATAAACTTCACACTTCTTCTCCCTTCCTTATTTGGCAAATTATCTACATCAAAACAGTGCAAAACAGTGCAAAACAGTGTCAAACAGTGTCAAACAGTGTCACAACAGTGTACTCTATAGTAAAGTCAAATTTATTTCCTTAATTTGTGTGAAATCAAAGTGTGAATTTCATTTGGGATCGGAAGGAGTACTTCATTTGTCTCATAATGTGAGATACATGTGGATTTGATGTGAGTTTTAAGATCATAAATGATGGAGTGGTTAAATTACAATTCAAACCTCCAAAACGTAAGAAAAAGTAAAGAGCCCACAAAACACATATGATGAAATGATATATAAAGGGTTAAAGTGAAAAAACAAAAAAAAAATTAAGTTAAAGTAATTTTCATGTTTTTGGAACAACACAAAAAGGAAATGTATCTTATAAAATAGGACAGATCGGAGAATCGAAGAAAATCATGTGGATCAGTCCAATTTTGACCCATACTAGATACATACATGTCCAACTTTCTATCCAAGCTCTGAACTGATCCGGTCCAAACTTATAATATTTAGGTCCGACAGGTGGGACTACAATTAATTTATTATTTTTAAATATATTTTCTATCCAAAATGTATTACGAGTAGTATTTGACAACTATGAAGAGCTAATTTAGATTTAATTTTACTTGAATATTTATTCAAGAAAGAGTTCTTTTTTGTAATTAAAAAGGTATCTTCTTAATTAAAATCCAAATTACTAGCCACTAAAGGTTTTTTTAATTAAAATCCAAATCCGGTCCAATATTGGTGTGGTGGACTGGTCAAATCCGGAATAATCGGACGTTTTCAATGACGGTGCAATATGGCCCGTCCTTTTAAAAACATGCAACTACAATTTGGAAACTCCTAGTAACATTCGTGTTCCTCTCTATGTAGTTATCAAATCCCTCACCCGAGCCGCCGCATCCTCCTCAGATCCTATATATATTCACCCATCGTTCTCCTCAATTCACCGCTGCATCCACTTCCTCCTTCTACATCGTACACGGCAGACACACGGTATGTCGGTATCAAGAACCCCCAATCTTGTCTCCTGATTATTATTTTTATCACACCCCATTAAATTTCACCCTGGGTTATTCCCAAATACCTTGTTTATGGCTTCCCCTGTTTCTTGATCGCTTTCTTGAGTCGCCCTTTGGTTTCTCCATCGTTTCTTGATTGCCTTACCTTCTTTATTTTTCCCACTTCTGTTTGATCAAGTATACTGGATTGGCAGAGATGAATGTTGCGAAGTCTCAAGTCTGGCATCCTGGGAAAAGAGGAGGCTTTAGTTTGAACAAAGAAAAGGGTGTTTTTAGAAATAAGAAGGAAAAATGGATGGGATTTGCATTCAGTTTATCTGAGCCAAGGTCCAAACCACCAAAGGAATCTTCATAATCCCTGGGATTATAAACAATCGAGGGAGTGTGGCGATACCTTCAAATCCAAGGATGCCTTCATATTCAACAAGTAGTGGGGGTGCTAGAACAAGAGTAGGTAAGTATGAGTTGGGCAGGACATTGGGAGAGGGAACATTTGCAAAGGTGAAGTTTGCTAGGAATTTAGAAACAGGGGGCAATGTGGCTGTCAAGATTCTTGACAAAGAGCACCTTCTTAAACACAGGATGGTTTCTCAGATTAAACGCGAGATCTCAACCATGAAGCTAGTTAGGCATCCGAATGTTATCCGAATGATTGAGGTCATTGCCAGCAAGTCTAAGATATATATTGTTATGGAATATGTTACTGGTGGTGAACTATTTGACAAAATTACAAGTCTGGGGAAACTCAGAGAAGATGAAGCCAGGAAATATTTTCAACAGTTGATTAATGCTGTGGATTACTGCCATAGCAGAGGTGTGTTCCACAGAGACCTGAAGCCAGAAAATCTGTTGTTGTGTTCCAATGGAGTGCTCAAAGTCTCTGATTTCGGATTGAGTGCACTTCCGCAACAAGTTCGGGAAGATGGGTTGCTGCATACATCATGTGGAACACCAAATTATATTGCTCCTGAGGTGATCAACAATAAGGGTTATGATGGAGCTAAGGCTGATCTTTGGTCTTGCGGTGTAATACTTTATGTACTCATGGCTGGTTATTTACCGTTTGAAGACTCAAATCTTATGGTATTATACAAGAAGATACACAAAGCTGAGTTCACCTGTCCACCCTGGTTCTCCTCAAGTGCAAAGAAACTAATCAACAGAATCCTGGACCCCAATCCTCATACGCGAATTACTATTGCAGAGGTAATCGAGAGTGCCTGGTTCAAGAAAGGTTATCAGCCACCAGTCTTCGGACAGGAAGACGTTCATCTCGATGATGTCAATGCCATCTTTGATGTATCAGTTGTGGAGAGACGGGAAGAGCTACCTGCTGCACCCCTTTCAATGAACGCTTTTGAGCTAATTTCAAGATCTCAGGGTCTCAATCTTAGTTCTCTTTTCGAAAAGCAAGCGGGTCATGTTAAAAGAGAAACAAGATTCACTTCGAAACATCCTGCTGCAGAGATAATCTCGAAAATCGAAGAAACAGCAGTGCCTTTGGGTTTCAATGTGAAGAAAGATCAGCACAAGCTAAAGCTTCATGGGGAGAAGACGGGACGCAAAGGTCATTTATCCATCGCAACAAATATTCTTGAAGTCACCCCTCATTTTCACATAGTAGAGCTTCAGAAGGCTGGAGGGGATACCTTGGAATTTCAGAAGTTCTATAAGAACCTCGCGACGGGGTTGAAAGATGTCGTCTGGAAAACCGAGGAAGCAACAATATAAGTTAGTACATGCAGCGTTTAGGCTGAAATTGGTTGATGTCTGCAATTGCAAAGCAGATTTGTGTTGTGCTGAATTGTCTCAGATACACTTTTTCCTTTTATCCTCCTAAAAGTTTTTGATACTTAATATGCTGAGTATTATGTCATTACATCTTATATAAAAAATAAATTGGAAAACTAATGTGGAGTATGGTTTTGTTGGTTAAAATTTGTTTATACATAAAAATTTGTTTATATAAATGACTGGCCTGGGATGTCACTCTTTTAGCTAGCACTGAACTAATTAACAGTTAAATCTAAAAAAGGTATGAATAAAATATGAAGCAATATTTCTGTCCAATACTATCTAATACACTGTGATAATTAACCTTAGACAAACAATTGTAGCATCAATCAGATAGCCAATCACAAAAGAGATTACATACAAGGGTGGAGACAGGGGAGTTCGGGGGGACCTTGGCCCCTGCAAGAAAAAAATTGTGATGTATATACATATGCATGAATATTTATAAGTAGTAAAAAATATAGTGAGAATTTAAGTTTTGGCCTCTGTTATATAAACTTTTTAAGTCCCGACCCTTGCAGGGGCGGATCTATGTGTATGTGAAGGGGGGCAGCCGCCCCCAATTAAGTTTCCATAATGCGAAGTAGACCATTAGGACAAAGCCCAACCATTACATTTGCCCCCAATTGAAAAAAGAGATTGCCCCCAATAATAACGACATTGCTTCCAATAGATAGATGTAAAGCTTAATTAGCCGCTAAACCTATATTTAAAAGCAAAGAATTTAATCCTTTCGTACATAGTTAGTGAGGGCGGCATGGACCTCCTCGTCCAAGTAAGTGACTGTCCTTATATTTTTGTCTCTCTTCGTCTGTGTAGAGTTTTTTGCCTGACCTTTGTTTTCCTTCTGCAGAGTGCCTTCATGCTTATGGAAAGCCATAAGAGGCAGTACTGGGAGATAGCTCGCCTGCAAGCGCTGGAGCAGAAGGCTGCCTCGGCCGACGAGGCGGTAGCTTGCCTTGACCGGCTCCGGGAGGATGCCAAGGCGCTGCAGGCCAAAGCTGATGAAGCCGCCGCAGCCAGGGACGATGCCCTGGCCAAGCTCGAGGAGAGCAAAAGGGAGCTCGAGGAGTCCCGCAGGGCGCTTGAGGCCGAGAGGCGCAGGAGCGAGGAGGCCGCCAAGGCGAAGGCTGAGGCCGAGGCCGCCGTCGTGAAGGCTGCCGATGAGGCCGTCGAGAAGTTCCTGGCCGAGGGGTGGAAGGCCGATGAGAGGCTCCCCTGGTGCTACGAAGTGGTGGCCGCCAGGCTTGAGAATTGGGGGATGAACTCCCCTGCCGGCCGGGAGTATTTCAGCCGGGAGATGTCCGTTTATTACAACCTGGGCCAGGAGCGGATGCAAAGGCTCCTGTGTCGGCGGCTATCCCGGGCGTTGAAGGCCATGAATTACACGTCTGGGTGGGCTAGACGGAACCTGAAGCTGCCAAAGCTGATGAAGGATCCAGAAGAGCAGGCCAAGCTTCCGCTGTCGGAGCGAGAGTCCCCCATAGAAAGCTCCGGCCTTGGCGAGCCGGATTATACTGAATTTGATTTCTTAGACGATGCCACCAGCGCCGCTGCCGGCCAAGAAGCTGAGGCCGATGAGGCCGACGAGGAGGGAGCCGACGAGGTTGAAGAGCCCGCCGCGGATGAAGGTGCCCCGGAGGCTTGATCGGCTATTCCCTACTGTAATTAGCTTTTCATTTGTTGCCAAATTATGTAACGGCCGAAGTGCCCCGAATTGTAATGAATTGATTAATGAAAGAATTTTTGCCATCCTTCTCGGCTTTGAATCCATTGTATGCTTGTTTGCCTTTGTCATTTCAATTCTGTAAATTGTCAGTGTCGAGTCATAACTTGGGTCGCCCGTGATTGTCCGCTACGTCCATGGGGTAGTCCACCCTGTCCGGTGACCTGGTCGGCTTGTTCGTCGTCGTTTAACACTTAGGAATTTTTTCAAAAATTTCCTAAGTGTTTTGGGCTCACTGAGCTGCTTTCTTCCCTGGCTGGCGGCCTGATCGGCCTGACCGTCATTTCTGTACTATCCTAACACTTAGGATTTTTTTTTTGAACATTTCCTAAGTGTTTTGGATTCGTGTAGTTGCTTCCCTTCCGGCCTGGTGGCCTTGTCGGCCTGACCTGGTGGCCTTGTCGGCCTAAGTGTTTTGGAACCACGAAGTTGTCTTCTTTCCGGCCAGGTGGCCTTGTCGGCTTGTATCCCTGTGTACTGGCCGATAAGGGCACCTTCACCATAGTCTTGTGGACTTTGAATTTTTCACAAGTACACATGTAGAGGTGTAGGTAGCTAACGGCTTTGTAGTATACTAGTACCCGCTTCGGCTAGAACTCCTTCATTTGAGTACTTAGATAATTTCCTAAGTATAAATGTTAGGCTTTTATTTCTTTGCGGTGCCACTGCCGGCCAAGGTTTGGCTTGTGGCCGATGAGGGTGCTGGATATGGAATAGCTTGTCCCAGGAGATGGTCCTGTCTTCGTCGGCTAGCTATGGTTCCAGTGCCTGCGTCGGCCATCCGAGGTGCTGTGGCAAGTAGAGGTTGTTTCTTGATTGCTTGCTCCTTTCGCGGGTGTGATGAGTGCCCGCTTCGTCCTGGTCATCCTCAGGATTGCGATGCTTTGTTTCATACCAAGCGTTGGTGCCTCAAAGGACTATGGCCGATGAAGGTCACCTCTCGCGTGTCACCCAACCGATGTGGTTAGGGTTTTATAGGCGTGTGTATCGGCCTTGATTATTTCCTTGTGGTGCGTGGACACGTCGTCCATGTTACCTGTTTGTGGTGCTATACTTGTGTTCATCTGATATGTACCTGGCCAAAATGGGCCTGAATTGTGGGGATTTTATTTTTTCATTGCTCGAGGCCGGCAAGTGTTCACGGCCGTCGGCTTCCCTCTTTTTCCCTTATATATATATATATATATATATATATATATATATATATATATATATATATATATATATATATATATATATATATATATATATTATTTCGGGGGTATCCTTCTTTCAGGCTTCGGCCGAAGGGTGTGCTCGTCCTTCGGCCGGTTCGGACTTCGTTTATAACGTCCGTGATCTCAGGGCGGGTCCCGTCGCCTATTTATGATGCGGGCTAGACTTTTGGTCGGTTTCCAACGGCTGTCGTTGCCCATCCCTGAGTTTTGGGATTTTGTCACCTCGGCCATGATTTCAGGCCTGTCGTCCTGCGTTCTGGCGCGTGGGCGACGCGGTGAGCTTCCTGTTTCAAGACGTGGGCCGTTTGCGGGCCCTTCATCCTGGGGACATCGTCGGCCATACCTGAGTGTTTCACTTCTAGGCTTTCGGGGCCAGGACGATGTGCTCTCTCAGCTAGGCCTGAGCCCTTCGCTGATACAAAATACAATGGAGTGCCTGAGCTTGTCGCTCGTAGGCTGCAAATGCGAGGGGCCATGTCGGCCAGACCTGAGCCTTTCGCTCTAAGGTGGCCGACGAGGGCACCTGCTAATGTTTTACTTTGAATTTCCGGAGAAAGAATCAGAACGTGATTTTATTCATAAATGGCTCGAGGCCGAGGGTGGCGTTCAATCAGTAACCCGTTAAGGGGTGAGGGCTTCGCCGTCTGCACCTCCTTCGGATTACTGATAAAACTTCACCAGATGGTGTATATTCCATGTTCGTGGTACATTGGACCCATTCGGGCGTTTAAGCTTGTAGGTGCCGGGTTTGACCACGACACTGACGATGTAGGGCCCTTCGTACTTCAATGCTAGCTTGCCGCCCTCTGTCGGCTGGCTTGCTTCCCTTCGGTGGAGGACGTAGTCCCCCACCTGAAATTCCCGGGAACGTACCTTGGCGTCATAGTATGATTTTACTTGACGGCGGTAGTTCTCCGCTCGGACGTAAGCTTGTTCACGCCTCTCATCAACCAGGTGTAGGTCAATCTTCATGTTTTCTTCGTTGGTGTCAGGCTCATATTGTTCCACCCGTCGGCTGGGGATGGCAACTTCCGTAGGCGCCTTTGCTTCAAAGCCGTAGCACAGGGCGAAAGGCGTTTCACCTGTCGCCCTCCTCGGCGTGGTTCTGTAGCACCACAGGATGTTGGGGAGCTCGTCGACCCAACTACCTCCTGCGGCCTGGAGTTTCTTCTTCAGCCCTTCCATGATTGTTCTGTTGGCGTTCTCGACCTGCCCGTTGCCCTGAGGGTAGGCAACGGAGGAGAAACGATGCTTTACCTCAAACTCCCGGAGGAGCTCTTGGAAAGGGGCTGCCTCGAACTGGGTGCCGTTGTCTGATATGATCTCCTGGGGGACGCCAAAGCGTGTGATGATGTTCTTGTAAACAAATTTTTGGCATCTGGCCCCCGTGATGCTGGCCAAGGGTTCCGCCTCGACCCACTTGGTGAAGTAGTCGACGGCGACGATGATGTTGCGGTTATTCCCGGCGGATCTGGGCAGGGGGCCGACCAGGTCAATCCCCCATCTGGAGAATGGAATTGCGGTGCTGACAGGGGCATAGTTGACAACTGGCCGACCAGGGGCCTTCTGGAGTACCTGGCATGTGGTGCACTTCCTGGCCAGGCCAGCGCAGTCCCGTGCCATCGTCGGCCAGAAGAAGCCCTGGACGACGAGACGCCGGGACATGCTGAAAGGACCCTGGTGCGAGGAGCAGACGCCACAGTGAACTTCTTCTATGGCAGTGTCGGCCTCGTCCTGGTGCAGGCATCGGAGGAGAGTGCCATTGTAGGACCGTTTGTAGAGTTTGCCATCTTCTATGGTGTAGCTTGGGGCCCTGAGTTTGACAAGTTTGGCCCTCTCCTCGTCCGGGGGCAGCTTCCCCGTTGTGATGAAGGTGGCGATGTCAGAGATCCAGTCCTCTGGTCGCTGTTGGACGCACAAGACGGGGCTGGCATGGATGCTGGACATGCTCAACTCCTCGATCTTAGCCAAGTGGGAGATGTGCTCCGGGGTGTCCGAGCTGAGCTTGGAGAGGATGTCGGCTTCAGCGTTCTCGGCCCTTGGGATCTGAGTGATCTCGTGGGTTTCAAACGCTTTCAGCAATTCCTCCGCTGCTTGTTTGTACTGCTTCATCCGGCCTTCCTTTGCTTCGTACGATCCCTCCACCTGGCTCACTACCAGTTTGGAGTCGCACTTGATCTTGAGGTGCTTGGCCTTGAGGCCGGCGGCGAGTCTGAGACCGCTGAGGAG